GAGTGGGTCTCAGTAACCTGGGAGGTTGTGTCCCAGTCTCCTCCCATTTTTTTTTTTTTTTTTTTTTTTGCCATGGGCTTGTGTGGCATTAACTGATGAGAAAGTACTGGGACTCATTCTAGAGAGAAACATAGCTGTTCTGCAGAATCCAGAGGGCAGCCACATCTCCTGATCTATTCAATCATTCATTCATTCATTCAATAAATATTATTTTGAGCACTTACTATGTGCTATTTGCTATTCTAGGTGCTAGGATCATCAGTAAAACAGAGCTTCTCTTTTGGGGAGGGGGAGACAAGCAATGAACAATGGCTAAAATAAATACCTAAACGAATAGCTTGTTAGAAAGCACTGAGTGCTATTTTAGAGTATGCCAACCAGAATCAGTACTCATGCAGCATTTCCTGCGTCCCAAATATTTTATGTCTATTATCTAATGACATTGTAATCCTCACAAAACCTCATGAGGCAGCTGCAGCATTTTACAGATGAGGAAAGCAAGGCACCGAAAGGTAGAACTGCCCAAGATCACACTGCAAGTAAATGGTAGAGTTGCGATTGCCTACTGAATAAATTTCTCGGGCAAGGTCACCAATTCTGCCTCTAGGAGCTACAAAGGAAATGCTCTCAAAAATGTCCAAGGCACTTCGCATGCAATACCAGCCAGCAACAGACCGTGAATCTTATACATCATTAACTAAAGAGGAAATTAGAAAATTAAAATGTGGAATCAAGGCGATGGGATGGTTGGTCCATCTACAGAAAAAAAGAAAAGTAAATACTTTCTGAGATCCAGCTGTGAACATGAGGACTATTGTGATTCTTCTCTCCTGCCCCCAGACAACCCCCTTTAGCTATCTATCCCCTTCTTCATACAGGCATCACCAACACGAACAGAAACGGAGAAAGAGAGGAGATGCTGAGCTTACTTGGCAACAGCTCTGTAAGCAGTTTGGTTGGTAAAGATGCTCTAACCACCTTAGCTAGTAAAACCAGGCACTGACTCTCAACCTCATCAGGGTTGGCCTGTCAGTTCAAGCTAGAATTTCATTCTAGGACCTCAGCTCTGTCAATAATTACAGCCTCCTTACAATACCTTTTTATTTTCTTCAACCCTCCCCAGGTTTGAATGGATCCTAGAATGCAATGGGCCTTACAGGGAGTATCTTCCCTTTCAGAATTTTTCTAGAAACAAAGAAATAGGCATTGGCCAACTCCACAGAGCAAGCTGGTTGGAGGAAGCTATGGTAGGAAATATGTACTTCCGGAGAGTGGCTAGACCACAAATGGAGATTGCTTTTCTAATAAAGGATGGTTCTCACCAGCAGCATGTGGAGTTATGCCCATTTTACAGAAGACAGAACTGAAAGATAAAATAACTTGCCAAGCTCTCATTTATAGAAGACCAAGAACATTTGACTTAAAGGCCCTTAAGCTCCAAATCTCTTTGCTATTCTACCTCTCGCATCTCCTGCAGGAGTTAGAATTTTAGACCAGAAAGAAAGCGAAGAGATCATCTGGTTCATCCTCTGTTTTATCAAGGACAGGTTGTGGGACTTGCTTAGGGACATGGGGTAGGCAAAAGAAACCAGAACTCACAGGTGCATGTCACACAGGTACTGATTCTGTACAGAAGAATGTATAGAAGGCAAATACTGAAATTTTAAAAACTACTTTAAGGTAAACGTGCCAAGTTCATTAACATAGGGGCCAAGAAAAGAGAGAACAAAATATATAATTACTAATTAAAAGTGGAAAAGGAAGGAGTCACCTGAAGTAGGTTAAAAAAGCAATGTGGGGAAAAAAAAGAAGGTTCTGTGTGTGGGAACATATTTAGCCTGAAATGATAGTGAAATAGCCAGGAGAAAAAATATCGAGTTAAAATGGCCAAGGACGTGGGAAGAACGGGTAGGTCTGTGCCTCATAGTGTGATTCTGGCATTGCTTATCTGGGAGAGGTAGATGGCTAGAGAAGGAATCACTCTTTCTTTGTTGTTTTGTTACTTTTTGGTTTTTGTGTAAGCTCAAAATGCTAAGTGGTTGGCTTTAAAGTTGATCTACTGTTTTATTTTACTGAAAAAACAGAGCAGAATATGAGTCATCTGGATTTCTACATGGTTCCCACAAGATCTTAAATTACATGTAGTACAAAATTGTGTTTTCGATATTTACCACAGGCCTTTTCCCTTAAAACTTTCCCTTAAAATTTGATCAAAGCTACACAGTAAAGCTGGAACCACAGCCTTGCCTTTGGATCCTAGGGCTAACTTTCTGGAACCATATCCCCAGGGGTGGCCTGCACAAATCACTGAACTTGGCCGAAAAGCAAGTTTGCCTTTAGGGCTCCCTGCCTTCCATTTTAATACCTTTTGCTTCCTCGGAGGGTGCACAATGAACAGCCTGTGCCTACACTGGCCCTTCAGGCTGGAGTCACCCCTTTCTGTGACTCACTTGTCCCTCTCAACCAAGAGGCTTACCCGGAAGCCCTGTCCTCTGTCCCTTCCCAAAATATCCGTGCCTGTGCTTCGGGTCCTGCTCTTGACAACCCTAAAAATTCATTTCCTTGGAGTCACTGATCAGCATGAAATTACATTTTTATTTCCCCCCATCTTCAACCCCCCCCCCTTTTTTTTTTAAAGATGTTTTATTTATTTGACAGGGAGAGAGATCACAAGTAGAGAAAGAGAGAGAGAGAGGAGGAGGCAGGCTCCCTGCCTAGCAGAGAGCCCGATGTGGGACTCGATCCCAGAACCCTGAGATCAGGACCTGAGCTGAAGGCAGAGGCTTAACCCACTGAGCCACCCAGGCAGCCCCAACCCCCCCTTTTTAAAAATTTATTTTACTGTTATGTTAGTCACCATACAGTACTTCATTAGTGTTTGATGTAGCCCTCCATGATTGTTTGTGTATGCCCCTTTTTAAGTAGGAGATCTAACATCTTCGCCCAGAATGAACCATCCCCTTTATGTTTAAAATTGGGGCAGTTTGAAGGGCAGTCTGCTTAAAATTCTTTGACCTTGATCTCAGGGCACAAATCTGTACAAGCTTGGAATCTTCTGTCTGCTTGAAATGTCCTCTTGCTCTACATATCCTACCTGGTGAAATCATTGCTCATGGTTCATAACCCTTTGCAAATGTGGTCTCCACCCAGAAAGACCTCCTGACTCTCTAGAACTGTGCTGACACAGGAACCACGACCCATGGGAAGCAACTGAGCACATGAAATGTGACCACTTCAAAGTAACATGTGCTAAAACACACACCAGATTTATAAGACTTATATACAACAAAAGTATAATATCTCCTTTTATATCATGCATTAAAATAATTTTTTGGATATACTGGGTTAAGGAAAATATATTATCAAATGGATTTCATCAGTTCTTTGTTTTTTAATGTGAAATTTTGAAAATTTGAAAATTTGAAATTACATATGTGGCTTCTGTTTGTAGCTTACGTTCCATTTCTATTGGATAGCACCGCTCTAGAGTCCAAACCAATAGTTTTGAAATCATAGTGGGAGCTGGGGAATATGGATGATTTGTGAATTTCTGTCTGAATGTCTGTGGAAAGGCATTTTGAAGTAAGATAATCTAGGTCTCTGATGAACATCAATAACATATTTAAGATAATCAGTGAAGAATAGAAGTATTAGGTCTTTGCAGCATTAATCTTTCACTAACTTTGACGAAATCCCCAATTCCTTCCCTCCTATCCCTAACCCTGGGGACGAAGAAAAAACAGTGTGACAGGGTATGTAGAATCTTTTTTTTTCAGTAGACCATTGTCTGGTCTAGACAGACAAAATGGAATACGGTCCACTTAAGTATAGACAGCTGTGAAGAGGAAGGTGAGGGGGAGAAGGGGAGGGGAAGTGGAGAGGGGAAGGTGAAGGGGGGTTGGAGTGGAGAGAAAGGAGGAGGGGGAGGAAGAAGAGGAAGAAAGAAAGAAGAAAGGAAGCTAATATTAGATGTCACGTACAGTGCTAAACACTTCCCCATAATCAGAATTTCCTAAACTGGGCTCAGAAACCATAGTTTTGAGGGGTATTCATAAATGTTGTATTGGGGATAGGGAAGGAAAAGGAAGTTTCCTGGACATATCAGAATCAAAAACACTGTACTAAATAAAATTAATGAGCTTTCTTAATTGCAGGACTCTTCAGAGCCTTTAATATGCTATGAAACATATGATAGCCCAAAAGAGAAAAATTGAATTTAGTGTTTCCAAACTTACTTGACCATTGAATCCTCTTTTGAAAAACACATATCAACAGCACCAACATTTACTGGTTGGTAAAATTTGCCCTAGGCAATGTCATCTCATCTCTATTTTAAGGCAAGAAATTGTGGCTTAGGAAGTTAAGTGACTTCCCTACTATTTCAATGTTATATAATTGGTTTTTGGCTGAGCCCCAATTCCAAATTCATGTTTACACCAGAGGAAGGATTTTTTTTTTAAGTAGGCCCCATGTCCAACTTGGGGCTCAAACTCATGATCCTGAGATCAAATTGCATGTTCTACCAACTGAGGCAGCCGGGCACAGTTAGAACAGGCAAATATTATCATCGTGGAAAATTCACAATACATATAGTGGTACATGTAAAAATGATTAAATCACTTCTCTCCACGTATTCTAAGTTCATGGTCCCTCAGTTCAGACCCCACCCCTCCTTGGTCTGCTTGGGTAAAAGAGGTCTTTTTGTTTTGAATTTTCATCATTTGCATCTTGGCATACATTAATCTTAGGCTTAGAAATGCCTGTGTCTTATCTGTCTAAATAGACTGGAGCTTGCTGCAGCATTACTTTGAATTCCTCACAGTGTGTCCTGCAGACAGAAGAGGCTCTCTAGAACCTTGCGGGGCTCAGCTGTTGATGGTTTGTGGGGTCTTCTGCCCAGATCTGAGGGCTAGAGAAACATTAGCTCTTGGTTCAGAGATACCACTTCACCGACGTTGCAAAGCCGGTGTCGAACAGTGTGATGGTGAACGCTGACATACCTGTAAAATGCAACTCATGATATCAGAAGCAATTTTTGCGTGGGGAGTGTCTTCATCTCTCCCAGAGGGTCTCAGGCTGTGCTCCAGACAGGAGTCCCAGAGCCCCACCAGGGCCTCTGCATGCTTTTCAATGGACTCTGTCTCTCTGATGGCTGTCGTGATTCTCGTGATACAGATTTCAACCAGAGCCTGGTCATTGTTATTGGTCTGGTAATCCTAGTTGAAAGAAAACCTTCATGTTAAATAACAGTCTGGAAAGTTCTCTTCCAAAGGACTGACAACATGCCAGCTAATACACTTAGCAAAGGGGCGTCCCGTACCCGGAGCTAAGGGGTGAGCCCCAGTACAATGAGGGCCTTCTGCCTTGGAGAGGAGAATCTGGTGGACGAGGCGATATGCAAATGTGCTGAAACGGAGCGGGTTCCTGCTGTCACAGACCCACAGCCAGGGAGCAGGGAAGAGTCCAAAGAAGCTTAATTATTCACTTGCCAAGCAGGGTTTAATTTTCAGGCTGTTTCAGTTTCTAAGTCCGTTACAGGTCAGGGTTGACTTTCTTCCTCTGACAGTTCAGTGATTTTTATGAAATGTTTCAAATCACCCTCCAACTTCCCCTCATAAACATTCTTTCTTTCCTACTACACAACAGAATACATCATTTCAGTTCTCTCTTTTTGGTTCAAATAACTACCAAATCCACGTTAGCTTTCCCCCACCAAATTTCCCTTTATTTAACTATTTAATTCTCCCTCAAATATCTAATCGTCTTTATTGGGAGGTAATAGGACCCTCCGAGATCTAAATGCAAAAAATCGGCCCATGATTTTAATTCAGAAAACTGGTCTGTACGTTGCCTGGCAGACTGACAAAAACAAAAATATAATTGAGCAGTGAAGCAATTTGATCCTTGCACCACCATGTGCGATAGGAGATGGGAAGTGAGGGGGCTTCTCTGTCCTACTGCAAGCTCCAGCACTGACAATCCGGGTTAGCTATCGGATCTAATGCTGCAGTAAACATCTTATGCACGAAGCCCTCTCCATGCTCAGATTATCCATGGTCAGAGTCTTCAGAAGTGGAAATTTCTGGGACAAAGAACAGGAACATTTCCAGGGCTCGTGATACATACTGTCATACTATTTTCCAGAAAGGTCTTACTGATATATATTCCCATCAGTTGGGTGAAAGCATGTTTTCCCCATTGTGCCTTTGCAAGCACAGAGTATTATTCATTTGTGCTAATAATTTGATCAGGGAAAAACAGTTATCTCATTGCTGTTTTACTTGGAATTTCCTGATCAGAAGTGAGGTTGAGTATTTTCACATGCTTATTGATCATTTGTAGTTCTTCCTTTGGGAATTGCCCACTGTATCCTGTGTCAATTTTTTCCTGAGATGAAATGGCAAAATTAGTATTGTAAAAGAACTGGAAAATGAGACAGGCAAACAGAAAAGACAACTCTGAGATAGAAACTGATGTGTATGGAGATCACCAAGCATGTTTTCTTAGCAAGCATACATATGAGTGTTATATAAACATATAGTATGAAATTTTCAGACATTAATCCATCCCCACATTCCTAGAATGAACACCACTTGGTTTGGCAGATTATTTTAGAATATTTTCTTTTACCTTCCCCCTTCGTTGGTGACTGTATACTTGATTTTAATGCAGCAGAATTATTACTTATGCCAGAACAGAATCCTGCTATGCAGTAAATAGGTTCTTATGAAGCCAAGTCATAGAGACAAAACAGAATATGAATGAGAAAAAAATGATTCTAACTTTTCCAAAAAATCTCTGCACCAACAGAAAAGCCAAAGCCGTTCTCAGGATGAAAAATAACGAGAATACTCTTGGGCTAAAATCATTTATCTTTGGCCACAATTGCCCTTGTAAATAGCAGTTACTTTTAATGGCATTATCTTCAAATATCAAGCAGCATCATGTGTAATAAAGAATATTTTGTGTAATATAGAGAATACGTACATACATAAGGATAGATAGAAAAGAGAACCAATACCATTGACAAAAAGAAGCCTATATTCCAAACGACATGAGCCAAGCCTTTGTTATAGCCACCCAATATGACCCAGTAGGTGAGCAAACAGAATAATCTTGGTGTGAGGAAAAAGTCATGCATTATCCAGCAGCATAAGCTCGCATTCACCAAGGTGATCTCATTAATATTGCTATTACCTAAACATGTAACTTGCTAGCAATAGAGGTCAATGCTGAACCTTAAGGATACCAATCAATCGTTTGGTGCAAGTTATTTACATAAGACCTTTCCCACCTTGGAGGGGGCATCAATTATATTGAGCCGAATTTACGTGTGATCCAGGTTTGGGTTTGACTTCCCTGACCACAGGGCCTAAGCCTGAGCCACTGTTTGAAGGATCATGGAGTATTTGGTGTGCTGACACAAGAGCCCACATACATTGCATCAGACTATAGAACCAATTTATAGCAAAGGAGATACAGCAGTGGCCCTCTGATCATGGATGTATTAGTCCTATCACATATGATAACCTGTCTTTCTCCTGCCCTGAAACTGCTGGACTAATAGGTCAATGGAACATGTCTTCAAAGAAACAACTCAGCCTGCTATCTTATGAGGATGAGAAAAGATCCTCTAAAAGGCAATATACATACTAAAATAATGACTATTACAGGGTATTGAATTCCCTACTGATAGAACACTGAACCTGGGAACTCAGTCACTTTGAGCTCCTGTATCAAAAGACTAACATACACATGCATGCACACAAAAGAGTGTCACCAACTTGGCAAAGGTAATTGACCATATCTTCAGAAGGTAGGGCTGCTGTTAAGTAATGGGGGCATCCCTAGGCCCTCCCCTGCCCGAGTTTGTTGGTAAATGGACAAGGGAACCATCACAATCTGAGAGAGGCATGGAGACCAGGGGCTCAGATCCCTGAGGAAAATGTATTGAGTCACCCCACTAGGAAGCAACTTAAATCAGCAGAGGGGCCAGCTGAAGGTGTAGGAATTAGAATAGGTGGTAGAGGAGGGACACTGTATTAGCTTTCTTGTTGCTGTTCTAACTTATTATCACATGCTTACCAGCTCAAGAATTTGTGTTGATACATTTATTTGCCTACAGTTCCAGAGGTCAGAAGTCGAAAACTAGTCTCACTGGGGAAAAGTCAAGGTGTCAGAAGGGCTGGTGTGTCTGGAGGCTCTGAGGGGAGAATACATTTCCACATCTTTTCTAGCCTCTAGAAGTTCACTGCTTTCCTTGGCTCATGATCTCCTTGAGCCTCCATATTCAAAGTGCATCACCCAATCTCTGCTTCCACCAGCCCACCTCCCTCTTCAAAGAAGGCAATTGACCTTCTTGCTCTTTCATAATTATGTTGGGCCCACCCAGATAATATAGAATAATCTCCCCATCTCAAGATGCTTAATCGTATTATATCTGAAAAATCCCTTTTGCTATATAAAATAAAATTCACAGGTCTTTGAGTGGCCATGATCCAGCCTACCACAGAGTACCAACTGCAGTCTTAATAGCAATTGGGATGGTAGAGATTATCCTCTCACTAACGTTCTTCTTGTAAATTTTGTTAGGAAAAGCATCTCAGAGAAGCTGTGTCCATACAGAATGAAATTATAGCAGGTGGATCTGAATGGTGAGAAGGGTAGAATGTAGTAGATACTATGATCCATTGTCCATAGACCCCTTTAGGACAAAGGCACTCATTTTCTCAGCTACCAATCCAGACCCAAGTCTGCCTACAGACACAGTTCCTTCTCAAAGAGAATGACCCCTCTCTGGGGTTTATTCCTCCCTTGAAACAGCCATTTTGGGATCTGTTTTACTAGGAACCTAATTATAACAGGTTATATAGATGACTTTGGGAAGCATAATAAACCATGTCTAAACAACAGTTTAACAATAAATAGCAAAGAGATTTCCATTTGGATGAAATAAGCCTCAGTAAAAGTAGAAGGTACAACTCAGTAAAAAGTACAAGACATACATATGTGTCTTGGTTCATGAACAACAAAATTCCAGTTTCCTGCTAAAAAGAGAAGTGCTTTGATGGAGAATTCTGAAAGCATTCTGGAATGAAGCTGGAGTACACAGGAGAAATTAATGTGTCAGCAAGATTGTTTAACAAAAGGCATATATTCTCATTCTAAGATTTCTAACTACAAGAGTTAAACAGCTGTTTGTAAGGATAAATCAGTGCAGACTGGTCACAATGTCAGTGAACATATTAATATATTAGGCGTAGGTGCATCAGTTATGAATGTTGTTATTACTGTGAATCTATTGAGCTAAGAATTTCCTGTGATATACCACTTTACTAAGGAAAGATTTTTTTAACTAGAGACAATTTATAAATTTAAATCCCTACATATGACATGGAGAAAAGCATTCTCCAAAAAGGAGGTTTCCTCAAAAAATGGTTGAAAACCCAAAAAGCTGTTAACTACTTCAACAAATATTAAAAAAGACAAAGGAAATTAAAAAAAAAATTAATGATGCGATTGACCAGTCTAAAGATTTTTGCCAGGGGATCAGCTTTGCAATTAGGGTTTTCCTAACTCACATTCCACCCTGATCTTATAAAATATATATGTCTGCATACATATGTGTCCATGTTCAAGTTTAACCTTGAATCATTACCTGTGCATATTAAAATCAGTAACTTCTGAGAACTAGATCTATTTAATATCAAACCTATCAAAGTGGGTTTAGAGATTCATACTCATAGTAACCTGGTCATTGTTAAAGTTTAAGTAACTTACCCTAAAGCAGCAGGGAGACCAAATTATAAGGTGGGAAAATAAAAAATCCACACATTGTGCTCCTCCAAGTCTAGTTACTGGGAAGGGTCACCCCCACCCAGCCACAGATACCACTCCTCCACATCAATATCCATAAACCATAAACCACTCACACTTCCTATGCGCTAAACAGTCTTCAGGGGATGGCCCATTGGAAAAAGGGATTGTGGAACATCTGAAATAAAGTACTTAGTGATAGGACTGACATAGGAGTAGAAGTTGGAAGAGAAGAAGGAAAACATCTTGAGGACCATTTCTCCTTCCCTTCTGTGAGAGACAGCATAGCATAGCAGTTAAAAGTATGGACTCTTGTCTGCGCACAGAGCCATATTCTGCTCTTACCAACTCTGCAATCTTGAGCAACCACTTATCTCTCTGTACCTCAGTAGCCTAGTCC